CTGGGCAATTTTTCCAGTTTCATCATTTATTAACTTACACTAGAATCATATTTTTGAGTATATGACTGTGCAGTTTCTCAGATGGAACAGAGGATCATCTTAACTTGCCTTGAGCATCAATTCAAATTATAGGCTAAGTGGAATTTGGCAAGCATTAGCTACATTTTGATATACACCCAAAAATATTTGATGAATATCATTGTATTGATTTCGACTGCCATTAATATTTAGTTATAGATTTGTATTAATCGATAAAAAGTTGTTCTTCATAGTGATGTTTTTAAATGTCTTGTTTTGTCAGTCCGAAAGACAAAGATACAGTTTAATATGATATAAGACATTTCTTTCAGTAAATTAGGTTATATATTGTCCCTTACAGCTCACACTAGTTTTGTATTATCACTATTGAAATTAAACATTTTCCAATCATTCCAAATATTTATAGGCCATACCAGTATGAACATGATGTTTTTTTTATTCTGGAAATTATTAAGAAAATAGTGGGGGTTATAACGGAGAACTAGATTTGTTACAACACAATTCACAATAACATTGGTGATATTTTCTGTTGGGTCAAACTTTAGTGTGCCTGTTGCTTTAAGAGAATAGCGCGTGTTGTTTTTGGTCAGAATGTTAAGCTAGCTTTTCACAGCAGGTGTTTCTAATTAGTAATTTATCCAGCCCCAAAAACGTTCTAGGATAACCTAGCTTGTCCCGTTTAATGATAAAACTTTAACTTTTGCTGCCAGAAAGACAAATATACTTCGAACCAGCCGAGTCCGAAGGTTTTAACCGCAAAATTGACTATATAGAATTGTCTGTCAGGCGGCGAAGACAACATATGTCACAGATAGTCATGGACGGTAAGCCAAAAACAGTTAGCAGTACAGTTAGCTAACAGTAGCAGAACATATTCGCGGTCCAACAACGTATTCCTTCTGTGTGAGAAAAATGACAAAAAAACAGCATAACTGTTAAAAGTTAGAAACCCTGAAGCCAAATTTAACTAAAGGTAAGACACTTCGTTTCAACGTTAGCATACTGACTATGTGTTAGATGGTTCAAGCATACACACAAAACATAACTTCTCAGAAGAACAGTAATTGCAGTCTGTAAACAATATTTTTGTGATTCTTTATTCCTGTTATTGAATTATTTGCATCAGTATATTTGTTTTATAAAACATTTAACTGTACGTTGTTAAAATATAGTAAATAATTAACTTTTGTCTTATTTTCCAAGTTGTTAATAAAAAAAAATCGTAACTTTTAGAAGTTTGCTTTCATGAATGTGTCATGAAGTCAAGCAATGTTATTGCTGTAAACATATAACAGGCAATTTCCTTTCTTGTATGCTTGAAAATGTACTAAACAGGAAAAGTTCCTCCTTTTTAAAATTTCTAGCAATTTAACCTGGCCTCGGTGGTCTGGTACCTACGTCTAATATTTGGTAGTTAAGTTGCAATAACTTACAGGAACCTTCTTTATGTTCTGTTTTGAGAGGTTCTCTGACTTCATGTTCCTATTTTTCTTCTCTCCATGTCCATCCAGAACATGGAAGAGGTGAAGGACAGGCCCAAGAGGAGGCCTCTGGTCAGGGCTGCTTCTGAAGAGAGCTCCAGTGATGTGGGCGCAATAAGTTACACTCCGTCCCCCGGAGACACGCTGCCCTGGAACCTGCCCAAACACCATCGCATCAAGCGCTCTAAGTCCGCATCTGAAAATGTGTTGGACCCAGCAGACAGGGCCGTCATCCGCATCGCAGGTACGATGTTCACGCAGAAGGAAAAAAGAGATAGAAATGTCTATTAGGGAGAGATCTTTATGTTTGTGCAGTAATTCCTGCTCAGAATGTACTGTAACACTGCTGCTATAACCAACTGTTAATGCTGCTACTCATGGACTATTCTCTTAGGAAGCTCTCCTCAACAGGCAATCGCATCCCTTTTTTGGCGGCTTTGTTATAATACTGATAATTGTGATTGATCTGTGATCCTCACTGCAGCTGGTCGCATTTTTTAATTGTATTTCATCTACTCACCATATCAACTGTTGTCTAAAATGTGCACTTTAAGTTGGACCCTTGTTTTTTCTGTCAGTGCTGACTGCTATTGACTGACTGCTTTACTTCTGAGGATGTGTTGCATATTATGCTGACAGCTTGTTTTTGTGTTCTAGGCAAGTGTTTTTGTTTACTCTGCTGTAGACCTGCGTGATGGTCATATTCTGGTGTTAGCATTGCCAGAAGGTTTTGCTTTTATGCTTCTATGCTATCTATTGGCTGCAATTGCATTGGCATTTGTGAAATTAGTAATTATAGTGGCAGACCAGAGTTTACCTTTGTTATTTTTTGCAGGTTAATTGGTGTGTATTGAGTTTAATTGGTTCTTTTGGTGGTTAGGTGCTTCTGCCCACATTGATGGGCTCATGTGGTTAAGCAATGGTAACATGACACATTCATATTTATTTGTTCTGTTATCTGGGCTTCATTGCTTTTGTCACAAACAAAAGTGGTACCGACCCATTCACATATTCTCTGCACAATTTTTATGCAGCGAGGCAAAAGGGACATATTTACTCAAATGTAATGGGTTCATGCGATTCATGTTTTGTGTTTTATACTACTGACATTTGCACTGCCAACCTTAAATGTTTACTAATTTACTGTTGATTTTTCTGTCACTTATTGACAACAAAACAATGTTTCATGAGATGATCAATTTGAATTCACAAGACATAGTGCCTGTAATGAGAATATCTACTATTGTGCTTTACACACAGAGAATACCTCAGAGAATCTTTTAAGCAGTTAAGAGACATATATTGCATAACACCTTTACATTACCATGATCTCATTAAGCTTATTTACTCCTCATGGGGGGTTTCACACCGATCGTTCCACTGCTCCTCCACCTCTATTCTCTATCTGAACACTGAGACACTCAGAAGACGTTACCCGCTGCTTCAGCACTTCCTGTGGTGGGTGTAGATTCTGATCTGCTAGGGTGGGGTACTGCAGCACAGTCCTGACTCCTGTAGCAGGGTGTTATTGTCTCTGCACACACAATAGCAGCAGCAGGATTGTATGACTTTCACTTCAATGTCCTTCTCATGACTTACTGTACGAGCCACAGCCCCCAGACGTGATGAAAATGCTGAGGTCTGATCAAATTATATCAGATTAAGGCGGCTGTAACTATGTTGTCTCCTTGGATTGCTGCCATAATGGCTCTAGTCTAAATGATTAACCTTGTGAGACACATGTATACACGGTCGGAGCTCTAGTTTTATCTCCAAACAAATGGAGACAGGGTGAGTTGTTATCAAGCTGAAGACAGTTTGATAGGCAGACAGTGTTGGTTGATACGTTAAATGAGACGTCAGTAATGCTATATCACGTAGGGGTCTATCGTGCTTGTTTATTGATCAAATTACTGTGAGTCTTCACAGTTGCTCTGTTGACGTGAGTACTAGTCATGGTGATAAAAAATACAACACACAATGCTTATTAGAGAGAAACACCGTGATACTGTCAAGGTCAGAAGAATTGGAAAGAGGAGGGGGGTGAATGATCCTGGTTTAGCATGACCTTTATCCTAGCTGTTCCTCACCAGGATACTGCTGTTTGCGTCCCATTTAAAACCAAAATCTGACATTCCGTTTTTGTTTTTTTACATCACTAAGTTAAAAAGGTAACACACTTGCTTATTTTGAGTCAAACCATGATTTTTTACTAATCCTAAACAAGTTATGAAGCTCAGAGCAAGTTCAGGCAGGAAGACCTATCACTTCGTATTGCACGTCATGGCAATACTCGCTCCCTTCACTAATTGATAGGGAGCGCCAGTCCTCAAGCTAACCTATCACTTCCCTCCATCCACAAGCCTAATTATCGCACCTGTTAATCCCTCTATATATTAGACCCTCCAGAAAAACGCGATTCTGCGATCGCAGAATTTCCCGCATAATCAGCAAAATGCCGCAGATTTGTAAAAGT